TGTCATAGGTAAAATTGATTTTTACATTTGGATAATGAACTCTATTCTATTGTTATAAAGTTTAAATTTGTAAATCCTATCGAATGTTTTCCAGGCGCCACGCTTTGTCATGCCGATACGATCAGCATCCGGTGCAGTTTCGGGATGAAAATGTTTTTACTTATCTTAAGTGGTTGTATCTGGTTATTAATTAGTCTTTGAGGGAACATCGGGCTGTCATATCAAACACTTTGTCGGCATGACTGTGCCCACTAGCCAATGATTCTTTAGAACATAGATGTTACTTAAACTTTGATGGCGAAATTAAACTTTTTGTTGTAAATTACGGATGTTATCATGACGTGAAAGAAAAAGAAATGAGATAGTTTTTTAATAGTTTCAAAAGAACTAATTAATTGTAATTGTTCAAGGAGTTTTTACGTTTTTAGGTCTCAAGCCATTAGAAAAGAAGAAGAATTTAAATTATTTAAAATTAGAACACATTGTCGATGTCATCATTTTTATCTAGTCTGTTTCAGTACATATTTTATCAATACACATGTCTCCGTTAAAAATAGTTTTATTTCTAAATCTTTTACGATATACAGTAATGTTTTTCTTTGTTTTCTTTGTGTAGACATTAAAAGAATTGTAATGAAGTATTGGGGAAGGAATTGGCTCCTGTAACACAGGGCAACCTACAGGAGCCAAGACTTCCTTGTAATGTATGCAAAAGAGACAATAAATAAATAATAACAATAATAATTATTATTATTTTACAAAACGTGAAATGCGAAATGCTAGTCCAAATTATTAGTTTTTAAAAATCAAGCTCATTTATTTAATAATGATGATACATTTTGTCACATATTTTTTAATAACCTCAGTGGTACAGAATTCTTAAAGTTGTTTAAGTAGTGGATCTCTTGCATTTACTTTATGACAAAACGTGTGACCTAAGACTAACTACTAAAACGAACGTTTTGATTCGTTTTATATCATAATCATCATCACCAGCTCACAATAAATCCCCACCGAGGAGCTCGGAGCCTACCCTAAGAAAGGGGTGACTAGGCCATAGTCAACCACGCTGGCCCAGTGCGGGTTGGTGGACTTCACACATATCTTTGAATTTCTTTGCCGATATGTGCAGGTTGCATCACGATGTTTTCCTTCACCATAAGAACGTCGGGTAAATTATATACATATGAATAATCGAAAATTACATTGGTACATGCCGCGGTATGAACCCAAGACCTATAGATTACAAGTCAAGTGCTTAAACCACTGAGCCACCGACGCTCTGTTTTATATGCGTCGTTCTATTTATAATCTGACAGTCGTCAAATTTAGGATGCTGTAACCTATTCAAATGTTCAATATTCGGCCGTTAGATTGTTATAAATTATTATTCACGTATTACCGCTGAGAATGTTTAAAATAAAATAATATGCATAAAAAGGTAGTCGAAACAATGTACAGAACAAAATTCATAATTAAGTAATAATTTAAATTTTTACTACAAAATGACAAAAGTAACAACGTCCAAAAAATTTAAGAAAAGATTTAATAGCGTTTCTGCTATAATTATCCTTATACAATGCTAGATATAATAAAACTGGCAACAAAAATCTTGTAGTCATTACAGCAAACACCATATAATTACAATTTCAGATTCGGAAAACACAAAAAGTAGCGCGAGGCAATTATGCGATATCACCAAATCTACGGAGCGACGGCGACGGGCGGGTGACCGTTAAGACAATCAAGTGCTCCCACTTCCTGCATTACATGACGAGATAATACATAGAAATTGTATATTAAAGTCACCTCATAAATATGTATATGTCTCGGTCTGTGGTCACACAAAACGCTTGCACAATCTTCTGTGCGGATGGCCCCGGCTGAGAACAGCGGCATGTGCGGAGTATCCTCAAAAAATTTAAATTATTAAAATAAAATGAAACCGCTAAAATAATGGCTGATTATGATGATGATATACACATTACATGAATCGCTTTACAAAAACCGTAAAGTACGTCTATATACTGTGCTAAAAATTAGCGGTACACAATTCCTATGCCATAATTATTTTTTCTTGTTACCATGCCAAATTAACGCTAACAAAGGTCGAAAGCTAGGATCCTAACGCACCAAAGTGAATATAAATTGATATACATTTACTTTTGTCCTTGAATATTGAAGCTATTTAAAAAAAAAAACTAAATTAGATAAAATTTGTAACTGCTACAAATAAATGACCTATGTAAACTTGACTTGATCATCGTATGGGTTGAAATAAACAAATGAAGTCGTAAATAATTTTTAGAGCTACTCCACAACGTCTCTGTTCTATAGAACATTGACGCGACCGCTGGCGTGGCGTGTAATAGAAAAAGTGATACGCGGCACACCGCACAAATACATTCTTATCACAGTTTGTTTCTTCGTTCGAATAAAGAAATGTCGGCGCTGTGTGTGGTGGCCTTTACCACTTTGTTTTTTTTCTACCACACCATACGAATACCGCAAACTGTACGATGGAATAAACGTTAACACGTGATACGTGTGTACTTTGCATTTGCAACTATGATACATTGTAAGGCAATGTTCTTTTACAATTTACGATAAACTGATCAACGATATGTTAAATAATATATAAATATTTATAACTAGCTGTTCCCGTGCGATTTCATCAACATAAAATTATTTTATTGTTTACATGTGTCAAATTGTCAATTGCAAATGTCAAAATGACGACATGACAAAACGTGGCAATCTTGCTTCCTTGATGTTGGCAGCATTTTATGGTCTCTTTCCCACATTAGGGTTTTCATCCAAAATATTTACCCCCTAAGTTTAATGGCGTGAAAATGTATAGCCTAAAGCGTGACGTAATTGTAGCGCTTTTTAATAAAAAAAAGAATTATTCAAATTATGCTATAAGAGCTGCCATCTTAGGCAACAAAGAAGTGTGTGTTTACGCTTTATTATGATAGTATAGATTGTAAAAGGACATATAGCTTCATCTGATATTCCGTGACTACAGTTATCTTTAACTTAAGACAATTAAGATAGTTTTTTAGGTAATAGAATTCGCCGCCTAAACGACTGAACGGATCACGATGAAATTTAGCATAGATATAGAGAACAGTCTAGAAGAACATATGGGCTACTTACTTTTGTCTCACAGAGACGTTGCCGGCAGAAAGAGATAGAATGGAATAACAAACACTGGCTTTTTTTTCGCTTTGACATTATAAAAAAAATGTTTCTCCAATTTCGAAATGATATGTTAAGAATGTATTCTAGTCGATTACCTCCCAAATACGTGTGTAACACCGGTAAAACGATAATTAAATCGGTTGGTCGACTTGACATTTATGTGACATTTTTATTTTAAGTCATCGAGAATTTTATTTTTCTGCCATAAATGTTCAAAAACTTGAAATGCCGGTCTTCACAGGTCCATCAAGTGAACCGACTAACGCATCCTTTTGGAAGCGACTTTTAGAGAAGTAATTAAGATAATTACTTAGTTGTACTTAATTGAAGCACAAAAAGCTAAGTTTATATGTAAGGGATAGTTCAGTTGTTATTCTATCTCAATTAAAACATTGGAGGAATAAAATTTTACAAAAGATGGCCATTTACTAATAAAAAGTAGATAAAAGGCGTTTTAACTAAAATAAAATAATAAAACGACACAGAATATTTGTAAATATATCTTTTTGGATAAAATCAATGCAAAATCATAACGTTATAAAAAAAACATTTTTAGTTAGTTTTTTTGTGTTACGAACATTGTTTTCTTAGACGTTAATTAACAAGTATCTAAGCGTACAGAAATGACTGGTTAATGTGGCAAGTAATTAATTCATATTTTAATGATAACTACATAAATAATCTTTATAACTGGATAGAACTAGTTATAAACATTATTACTATTAATTACATTACGTTTATTTTGAATGTGGAGAGGTACACCGGCAGACCTTGAAAGAGATGGAGGAATTGCGTGAATGGTGACATGATCAAGAAGGGAGTGATGACTGAGATGACGTATGATAAAGTTATGTGGAGGGCAAAAACTTGATGCGCCAACCCTACGGGAGTAGGATATGGAGAAAGATGATGAACTCCTATTAATTAAATCCACCTCTATTATCTTTAAAAAGTAAAAAATTACATTAAAAGATCGCATACGAGAAGTAACATATTAATGTTGTAATTTTAATTTTTAAAGTAATTTAAAGTAATAAAATGTAATTTTTAAAAGGATATCCCATCGGGGGTAATCCCCCGATGGGATATCCTTTTCGTTGCGTGGAACCTTATATAGTCTGACCAGGAATAAAAACGTATCATCACGTACTTATAGAATGTGTTGAAAAAAGGCTACTAGGAGGTCCTAATAACAGATTTTCTATTTCCCCAATCAGCCTATACACGTATTCTACAATTTCGGCAACCCTGCAACGTGCTAGCGTGACGAGGCTTGGGTAATTTCCTTACCCGCTTCCTTCCGCACATCCGCGCGTGTTACGATACGTCCTTCCTCGTTGTGAAACTCTTCTAGCGTGACCCTAATATACTGGACACTAAGGTCGCTACACATTTAGCAACTACGTACAGTCAGGGAAACTCGCAGTATTGACTTACAGTATTTATTTCTATTTATTTAATTAACAGTACATTTTTGTTAATTCGCTGATATTTCTTTTAATAATTCCAACTAAGCTCTAGACGTGTGCTAGGATATGTTTCACGTCAATAGTCGAATGTGAACCTTCGATAGTAAGATCGGTAGTCTGTACCCCAAACCATTAGGCTAATTGTGCTAGGGTAATTTAGTAAAATTAGGAAAAAAGGCTAAAACATCTTACAAAATTATGTATAGTTTGACTGTAAGATTGATATAATTCTCTTATTCCTTGCAACGAGACAAACTCTCCCTCTTACAAATAACCAATTAGGTAGCAGTAAGTTGCACTAAGAGTATAATAATAAAACATTATTACCTGTGTATATTTAAAAGCTGTGTTTTATTGGTTATTGTTTCTACGTTGAAATGACTGCAGTTTTCAAAGTGTAATACCGCCATATTCCCCGATTGTACCTGCCAATAAAATGTTAAAGAACTTTAAAAAAAATTGCCACTATTAAACGTGGTATCACTATTTAAACATGAAATTACCTCATTCCCGGACGTAAATATTTAAATTTAATAAAGCATTAAAGATGACGCAGATGTAACGTTCATAAAATCTAATATATTAATTGACAAATTGCAAAATTAACCATTTTAGCGACTGCATTAAGAAAGCGGCTTTGAATGGCACTAAAATGTTCTCACAGAACCGGATTCTTACGTACGATGATTTGATAAACAAAATGATAGATTGAAAACATCTCACTGATGTCATTTATAGCACGCTTATCTAGTTTATGTACTATCACTGATTAAATTAATTTGAAGTCTCGATTTAATAAGTTTCCGCAAACATATTGGCCAAGCTGAAACGTCTTACATCTCAGGGGTGTCATTAACAAAGGACATAATAATATCAACCCTACTAATGACACAAAAAGTATCGAATCGAAGGCAGAAGTCAAATTGGGACTTAAGTTTTAATGGAACATCTGTATAAAATTGACTGAAGGAATTTTGCAATAAACTATAAAGCGTCTAGTAAAAGCTTAAGCGAGCTTACGAAAGTTATCATAAAGTCGATGACAGCCGCTAACGAGGGGCTGGTGAAGTGCCATTAAAAATGCTTATAAATTCCTTTACATGATAAGGCTGTGTACACAACACATGTAAAAAATATATCGGCTCAAGATCAAGGCAACTGCAATTCTGAAACGCTGCAATTAGTATTGCCTATAGAATATTAATTCTACAAAGACTATTGAAGCTCCTTAAGGTTTTGTTATTTTTTTAACTCTAGTAGTATTGAAATTATTAAAAAGGCATATTTAATGCTAGTATAATTCCCATATATCTTGGCGGTTCTTAACTACAAAATTTGACAATTAAAATTAGCAAGACGCAACTCGCTGATGACCTTGGATCAAGGTATTTAAAAAGAATACCGTAAAGTTTCCCCGCATAAGAACTTGTGTAAAATCTTTTCCTCATAAATATTTACTTCATTTTACTGTTAATAGTGGTTCTATTATCAACTACTTCTACTAAAAATCACTAGTTTAGTTGTTATTAAATGCATCCTATATCGCGCGGCTTTCACGGCACGTCGTAAATCCATGGAAGTAATGTCTTTACATTGTAACCATTTGCCGGCTTCAATACTGGAGCAATGTAATGAATCTGCGAAGTAATTATCCCGACATTAAAACTGCCATTTTAATAACTGCGCTCCCATTGGTCGATTCAAAATTACATAATCTGTGCAATATATGCGGTAGTGTGTGTATTGGTGCTCCTTTGCGACTGTAAATGTGGGTTTACACTGACAACCTATCTGTAAAGAAGCATATGCTTATCTTTATCTTCTTCGAATGAAGTGAAAGGGAGGACAATATATTTTATACGTTTGTTTTGTCAATATCTCCATACTTGTATATTCTAGAATACTGTAGGGGATTTGTTTTGTAATTGAAAATCTATAACATACATGACAAAATAACATTTCTTGTCCCTTAAAACTCTGTTAAATACAGAAATTAACAATATTTTTGATTCCCGCAATGTACTTGTACTTGTATTTTCTAGTGGTTAACATTTGTGAGAAAATCTTTTCCATAGATTGTACATAAACTTATTGTATATACGCTTATTATCCAATCCATTATAGTTGCGATGTGACTTTTACCACGCAGTTAAAGTCAAGTTAAAAACGCAAACGATGGACAGGAAAGAGGATCCAACCAGTGACCACATTAGCATTAAAACGGTCACACAATTACACTGTGATCAGTGTGTCGCCGGCGACTGAATTCATTAGTTCAGCTCACCTGATTTTATTTAATTAAACTTACGTATACGGCTGGTTTACTGCATTCTTAAACTTAGTTTAACCGAACGTTAACTGCGTTTAATATACCCAACAAAGCAACGCATTCATTGTTGCAAATAACAATCTACCTTTATTCTATTTTGAGGGAAATGATTCGCTGTTATATATGAAATGAAAGTGTTTAAAAAATAATAAATTTTGCATATTAGATTAGCATTTAACAAATTATTTTGTTGCACCCACAAAAAGTATATGCAGTTTGAAAACTACAGTAATTTGCCAGATTAAATTCTAAATGTATTAATTTTTGAAACAGCAGTAATGTGCTTGGAATGGAATATTAAAGCTATCATACATCCTTAATTATCGTAAACTTTCCGTTTAATCGTTGGTTTAAGCGATTATTGTGGCACTAGGCTGTTATGCTAAGGAGTAGAATACACTGTGGCAAGTGAAATGTCTCGGCCTGACCAGCGGAGCGTCGCTTTGAGAACCTCGTTGTCGCCATCCACCGCGACTTTATGGTAATTAACTTCGCGGTCATACGGCCACGTATTGTTCTTTTTACACCATCACTAGATCTTATCAAGGAGAAGCGGAATTGAAAAATAAGATATAATTAAAGTTAATTTTCTAATATAGAATCAGTTTTTATTGTTATTTGTTTACTTTATGTTCGTGTAATTACTATTTAAGAGCGCCCATCTTTGACTTAAATATCGCATTGTGCGATTGTCGATTGTTTCGCGGCCCGTTCACCTGTTTAGTGGTACAACTAAAAATCGTGTGTGCGCACCTCTATATAAACTCATAGGAATCAAAGCGCGACTAAATAATTGTGCGATAAATTAGTCAAAGTGAGACAGAATCAAATAAATAGATTTTTTTCAATCTATCTACTTTACTAGGTTTACTAGAAAATTCCTCGTTTGTGATCTTAAGTATTCGCGGCCATAAATCGTGTCGCAAGTTACTTTCAGCGGTGCCATGATAAACAGTCCAAGTATTATTTACGACATGTAAGATCAGATATGAGCCACTGTCCACTACTTTCGGTAACTGGGGGCTAAATTGACCTCGTAAATCAAATCTCAGAGCCATACTGATATGCTTGGCGGCTAAATATATCTGGCTTCTTGTGTTAATAACTTTCTTACTTATGATAAAGATTGTGTTGTTTTTCTT